ATTTATATCTATTTCGCTGGTGTAAACATTATAAAATATTGCCTGAATGCAGACCCTGGTAGCAGTCGCTAGAATTTGACGTTTTTAAAATAATTTAAGGAGGAATTCTGACGATCGCCCGCGGAAACCTTAAATATGTTCCTTCTTCGGTGTTGTTTCCGGAATCTTAAAATATCGAGTCGGTTCTGTTTATTTCATACGGTGAAACTTGCCGTTCTCGAAGAATACAACCCAGTGATGTTATCCGAAGTCATAGAAAACGATGGTATCATGTCATTTTGTAACATAATGACAAAGATTATATAGCACTGATCGCGGGAATCTCGAAAACATAACATCAAAATTATTTTTGTTATCAAAGCATACGGTACGGTGTCAGGTGTGTTGACTGGTCAAAATGTACTCGGTTACTGTTTCCATGCTAACCTGTAGAGTAGATGCAAAATTCAAGATGGCGGATATACAAGTTTGGCTTAATCTGTCGGCAACTTGTATGTTTCTATGGGGTCATTTTCTAATACATGATCTAACATATAACACAATGAGTTTCCGCACATTCAGCGCGTTTTTTTCACACCTTACGTCACAGGACCCTCGATGAAAAAAAAATCTGCAAAAATGGCCCGAGTGATGTTGCGTTGTGTTACCTTATGTAGTTGTGTTACCTTATGGAGTTGTGTTACCTTATGTAGTTGTGTTACCTTATGTAGTTGTGTTACCTTATGGAGTTGTGTTACCTTATGGAGTTGTGTTACCTTATGGAGTTGTGTTACCTTATGGAGTTGTGTTACCTTATGGAGTTGTGTTACCTTTCTGGATGGTTTGGACAGCAGAAATACGTTTGTGAATGTTCAATATTCAGATATTTTCTTTTCGTATTGGCAGCCCTTATGAGAAAATATCAAATAAAATCAATTAAAGCGTGTTTTTATTTTTCACAGTTGTATGGGGCACGGCTGTCCTGAATTCTATCCTGACAGACGGTTGAAAATATATAGAACTCATCAGTCTATGCGCGAACTTAACTAGACTACAGCAAAAAAAAAAAGATATATACGCTCACAAGGCATGAAATACATGGAGATATGGGAGCACCAATTTATTAATCTTCTTTGAGAGAAATCGGAAGCATACGCCTTTGTGACAACTCGTGACGTACTGGGAAGATTGGACCCTCGTGATGATTCTAGCTGTGTCAGGTACTCGTTAGTGATTGTAGCTGTGTCAGGTACTCGTTAGTGATTGTAACTGCCAGGTACTCGTTAGTGATTGTAGTTGTCAGGTACTCGTTAGTGATTGTAGCTGTGTCAGGTAATCGTTAGTGATTGTAGCTGTGGCAGGTACTCGTTAGTGATTGTAGCTGTCAGGTACTCGTTAGTGATTGTAGCTGTGTCAGGTACTCGTTAGTGATTGTAACTGTCAGGTACTCGTTAGTGATTGTAGCTGTGGCAGGTTCTTGTTAGTGATTGTTGCTGTCAGGTACTCGTTAGTGATTGTAGCTGTGTCAGGTACTCGTTAGTGATTGTAGCTGTGTCAGGTACTCGTTAGTGATTGTAGCTGTGTCAGGTACTCGTTAGTGATTGTAACTGTGTCAGGTACTCGTTAGTGATTGTAGCTGTGGCAGGTTCTTGTTAGTGATTGTTGCTGTCAGGTACTCGTTAGTGATTGTAGCTGTGTCAGGTACTCGTTAGTGATTGTAGCTGTCAGGTACTCGTTAGTGATTGTAGCTGTGTCAGGTACTCGTTAGTGATTGTAGCTGTCAGGTACTCGTTAGTGATTGTAGCTGTGTCAGATACTCGTTAGTGATTGTAGCTGTCAGATACTCGTTAGTGATTGTAGCTGTCAGGTACTCGTTAGTGATTGTAGCTGTGTCAGGTACTCGTTAGTGATTGTAGCTATCAGGTACTCGTTAGTAATTGTAGCTGTGTCAGGTACTCGTTAGTGATTGTTGCTGTCAGGTACTCGTTAGTGATTCTAGCTGTGTCAGGTTCTCGTTAGTGATTGTAGCTGTGTCAGGTACTCGTTAGTGATTGTAGCTGTCAGGTACTCGTTAGTGATTGTAGCTGTGTCAGGTACTCGTTAGTGATTGTAGCTGTGTCAGGTACTCGTTAGTGATTGTAGCTGTGTCAGGTACTCGTTAGTGATTGTAGCTGTCTGGTACTCGTTAGTGATTGTAGCTGTGGCAGGTACTCGTTAGTAATTGTAGCTGTCAGGTACTCGTTAATGATTGTAGCTGTGTCAGGTACTCGTTAGTGATTGTAGCTGTGTCAGGTACTCGTTAGTGATTGTAGCTGTGTCAGGTACTCGTTAGTGATTGTAGCTGTGTCAGGTACTCGTTAGTGATTGTAGCTGTGTCAGGTACTCGTTAGTGATTGTAACTATCAGGTACCTTTTAGTAATTGTAACTGTCAGGTACTCGTTAGTGATTGTAGCTGTGGCAGCTTCTCGTAACTCTGATACTGCATGAACATCCTTTACATTCGCCATATCTGGATGACCCCCATATCTGGCTAACGCCATAAATCGAAAATGACAAAATAGTCGCATTAATGTTGCTTCTGCCGCATGTCAGACCTTTGGTGATTTTGTGACCCTAGGTGATCTGGTGACCTTTAGGAACTGGTTCGAGGACGTCATAAGTTGTTGATAATGTGTCACAAACAACACATTAAATAAACCTTCTGGGGCCGAGATTTCCACGCAGCCACTCCTCGACTTATAGATATTTAAATTTGCAAATAAGAGAGTGGATGCTGTTAACGTCGGCAATATTTTACAACAGAATTATGTCAACTCTGACATCCACCCATAACTCCTATGCTTAAATACCCCTTTACATTTGATTGCTTTGTTAAACCTTAAATCATAATGTTTGCTCAAGAAATGGTATTAATAGTATATGTTTTTTAAAAGAAAACCAAAGAGCTTTTGGCAAATCTGAAGGATATTTCTTCTAAATAAAGCTATGTTTTCTCTACAGGTTCTGAAATCAAATTATATACCCGACTGTAACAATTACATTCCACACAAACTTGTATATGTTGACATTTTTTCACACAGCATCGGTTCTGACGCGTATCTTATATACCTACATAGGGTTGACATTTCTTCACTCGGCCTCGTTTCTGAGCCAAATATATACGAGTACCCTTTTACCTACATATGGTTGACAATTTTTTTACTCAGTACCGGTTCTGACCAAAGTATTCACGAATATCCCAAATACCTATTATGGTTGTCTTTAAATAAGAACGCTCTGACGTCATCAATTTGCTTTTCCTGTTTTTCCAAATGCCCGTACCCAAATCGGATCATAGCCGGAATATTTAATTATTTTAAGATTCGGTACCATCTTGTCTACATAGTATTCATCACAGTGCTAATACGTTTCACACTGTTCATTTGTCTGATGAAGGTGGCAGTGTTGTCGTCGAAACATTACACTCCAATATTCTACTATGTGTGTTATAAAAACCTTTATTATATTAACAATATCAGCCGAAATATGTAATGTTATGTTTTAAAGGAAAAAATTGAGCTGTAATACAATAACATACATTTTTGTATGAAAAGTGATTCGACTTACGTTTGCACGTGAAGGTGTCATCTACTTGAAACTGATTGGACATTCCGAAATTTGATAGCATGATGTGATATTCAAGACATGGCACGTCAGTGGCCATTTTGAATTTTGACAAGTTTTATAGCTTTAAAAAAACAATTTAAAACTCGGCAACATGGAGAATTTATAGCACCAGGAGGAAACTCGTTTTTTATTCCAGATAGTTTCAGAGAGAGAGAGAGAGAGAGAGAGAGAGAGAGAGAGAGAGAGAGAGAGAGAGAGAGAGAGAGAGAGAGAGAGTGAGTAATTTCGACGTTGGTGACGCTAAAGATCTTTTTGTAATCATGCCTGCAGTGTAATAGGAAGGAGAAATGACAAACACCCTGCCTGCCACTGCCGGGATGCGAACAAGCGACCCTTGAACGGTCTCTAGCCGGACACTCAACCGCTCGACCAAATATAACATTCTCCCTATACGAGACTAGTTAGGCGACCTGTACTCTCAACTTCTGCAACAGCATTCCTCCAAGCACACAATACTAATAAGTTTATTAGAAAATTACAGCATGAAGTTACCAAAATTGATACCGTATCACGTTACCAATAAGCGCCAGCAACACTTGCACCTAAAGCTGACTCATGTCGATTAAGACTAATGTAGAATGAATATCACAGATTCTCTCATATTTTGATTTTGAAGACTGAAACCAAACTGCCGCGGTCTCCGTTTTGCGTTTCGTTTGTATTATTGAATTCCGAAAATTGCAATATCTTAACAGACTCCACGTGACGAGCCTCTTTCTCGCATTGGTGAAATAGGTGAGCACGTTTTCCTAGAGCAGCGAGAAATTCTCGCAGTTTGATTATGTCCTCCAACTAAAATCATATTCGGACACATTTTATCTTTCGTTCACGTTATGACATTCATATTTATTTGAAGCGGGCATATATTAAGTCCTATTGATTCGGCTAAAGTGACATGATGGTCCCTCACATTGACCCACGTGGGCCAGTCATGTTCAATACTTACCCTGTCTCTCCTTACTGGGTTAGGTCTGGTATAACCTACCAGTCACCTAGTAATGATTTAGATAACCAGTGAATGACAACATAATTCGAAACTTAATCTAGTGCCAAAAATGACGAAAACTTTTGCGTGTTGGAGATAGGCCTAACATTACGCCGAACGACAGCACTGTTGCTAGCTCAGAAACCATGTAATTGTCTATATCCTCATCATACCAGACAAATGAAAAGTTCAAATCAATTGAACACGTGTCCTTGTGGGAAGATAAGTTTGCATAGTTGAATTTTTTTTTAAAAAAAAGTCATGCATCAGGTGGTGCATATATACACACCTTTTATAAAAAATGAATAAGATATAAGAACATAAATGATGGTTATTTGAATAACAAATGCATTTTTTTTTTACAGTCTTATCTTTAAACAGCAGACTAGCTATCCCTGAACCACAATCAAGATGGTCAAGGAAGATAAGGCAACATGGAAGTCCAACTACTTCCTGAAAATCGCGGTAAGTATTGTCAGAAAGTTGAGTCTCGGTGATCAAAAAATGAATAGCTGTTTTTAAATAGTTACATTATGGGAATCAATTATTTTTTATTGCAAGGCATGGACTTTCTTGTTGATGCAAAGTTTTTATAGAAATATTGTAAATGTATGCCTAGTTTACACAGTTGATGAGATGAAAGTTTGGCAAGTAATCTCATATTTTGGTGTACCAATTAGAAAAATGTCCGAGAGAAAAATCATCTGTTCTGAGACAATGGTTAAAATCTGTTGAGGTTAAATGTTTTTGATAGTGATTACAGTCCATGGAAGCATAATCATCAGTATGTTGTTGGTCACTTCTTCCTGAGGCATTTTGTTGAACAATGGTGGTACATCCTATATGTGGACGTGTTAAAAAAATTTTCTAAAAGATTTCTCTATTCCCTCGCAGCAACTGCGGAGAGTATATAGTGTTCTGTTCTTCTGTACATAGGTGCATTCAATTTTTGTCATCACTCTACGAATTTCATTTCTGAACAGATTTTGATCAAGCATCACATATTTACTAAATATCACAATACCTTGAATATGTTTCAGTTTGCCTAGGTCTATGATGAAGTCACCGTTATTTTGTATAGAAAATATTTGTCATGGCTCTGACAACTTATTTCTCAATCCATTTTGATGAAAATTCTCATATTGGTCAAGTATCATAATACCTTGAATCTAGTATTTATCGAAATTATTTTGACAGTTGAAATTTTGTTAAGTTTCATATTACAACTGCTATTTAAGCTTTTTGTATTTTTTTAAGAGATGTGTTCTTTTTAGGCAGTAAGGGCTGGTGATGTTCAGATTCAATTTCGTTTGCCATAGCTGTCAAATATTCTGGCTGCTGTGATGACAACTCTTAATATCTGAAGCCTTTCACTGACTAACATTTAAACAAAAAAAAAGAAGCAAATTATACCATATCTTGTGGGTCTGTATTTGTAAGAACACAATTTTTTTTATTATTATTTTCTCAGTGAAAATGTATTCATTAAATATATTTCATCAATAAAAGATTAATGTAGTTGAGAATTATTTTTAGATTAAGCATTAAGATTAAGATTAAACTAAGGCCAGTTTAAATAGAAAAACAATAAAGTTGAAAATTTCATGTTTGAGATAAATTTATAAAGCCTCACAATATTAAGACTTTTTTATACCAGATAATATACAAATAGATGCCAATGATGAAAATCGTCCGTTCTGAGACCACAGACAAAATCTGTTGAGCCAAGTTCTGGTTCCGGTGAGTCTGTAAACGCAGTGATCTCTAATGCTAGCCAGTACTGAGGCATAGTCACATTCAAATCATAAAAAAGGCAAAATGAGGAGAGTCAGGAATAAATTGGACGTTCTTTTGGTAATAGTATTGTATGTTCTTTCAAGAAGAAAATCTGATGTTCTTTCGGATATAACATTGGATGTTTCTTTGTAATGAAGTAAAAAAAAGTTGACATTTTGTAGTTTATAGGTAATTATTTAAGATTGAGTCACTTTCAGTATTAGAAAAAAACTGATAAAACACTAATTCAAAGCATACATTTAGACGTCTTGCACAGATAAAAGTTATTAACGGAACTGCTTTTGTGCAATACACCAGTTGGATGTGGAAATACTGCAAAATGCATATGGATTGCAAATAAAACCATGCCTTATGTACATTGCTCATCAGGGAGAGTGTTACCCTTCCCCCTCATACCCCATCTAAGAAGAAGATAATTTTAGTTTGTGTCTGCTTTGAATAAGTTGCAGGTGTAACCATTAAAATTTTACCAAGTTCTATAGTAATTTCATGCGTTTTCTTCTGTGATTCCAGCAATTGTTGGATGAATATCCAAAATGCTTCATCGTTAACGCAGACAATGTGGGATCCAAACAGATGCAGCAGATTCGCCAGGCCCTCCGTAACAAAGCAGGTAAAAAAATTCAAGATATAATGAGGAAAATTTCTCTTTGAAAGTTTTCGGTTATCAAAATTCTTATCATTTGAGGAAGAAATGATGCATGATATTCTTATATGAGGCTAAACATGATTGTTAACATTTCATGAAACTGTGAGGAGAGGCTATTGTCCTCTTCTACACATCTTAGTGGAGATACTCATCACAGAGGTCAAATGTGTTACAATCTTCAAACATCTTATTAACCAGAAGGCCCAAGTTATTGATATTGATTCTGTAACATACCTGGGTGAAAGGTGGCTACCTACAAAATTTCTTCTTTCAACAAGCAATACGTCCTGGGACATGGTATTTGTGTTGTATTGTAACAAAATACGCATTCAGATTTGCAGAAATTGACGTTATGAACGAACAAATTCTGATTTGTAAACCGTAGAGCAAGTGAGTAATTCAGGCATGATGGGCCTTTATCAAACGTAGGTCTTGATAGTTGGATGGCTGTTGGACTTGTGTCCTCTTGTGTACACCCTGTGTTCTTTGAGATAAACCAGTCTTGAAAATCCGAGAATCCTGCGCAATAAACCAGGGAGTTCTTGCAAGGAATAAAAGACAATTGTGTTATATTTTTGAATATTCTGATTGCTTAAGGAAGCGAATCAGATATATGGTACCTGTGATGATGAAAATCTCTATATTGCGAGTTCCCTGAGCCCAGTTTTGGAGCCAGAAATGGTCGAACCCACCAATACTGCAGGGACAGAGATCAAAAACATGCCGCAAGGCTGTCTGAACAGGGACCGGTTCATTCAATATATATAGCTGTATCGCTAAGTTTGCAGATTCTAACGCTATATTTAGACCTGTTAAAAACAACAATTTGGTTCTCTTCTCAGTTGAAGTTTATGGATTATCAATTTTAAAATTGATGAGTAAAACAATATAGTACACTTATATAGTGTCAGATGACAGTTGAAAATGATTAATTCAAATACAGTTATCTTAAACTAGTGTAACTCTTAAGACCCAGTTTTATTTCAAACTGCCTAACAAAACATTCAAACTTGCTTGAATTGAATACTCGAATATTTCAAAGTTTTCACAATATCTCACCATGTTTGAGATCATTAGGGTTGACTTATATACCGTAAAAACCCATGTAATGTCCGCACTTTTTTTCACCGAAAATCAGTCCAAAAAAGGGGGTGCGGACATTACAGAGATATAGAGGAAATGACACTTTTTTCCTTCCGACAATTCATATCATATCTCCTTGAATTGTGTTCTTAAAAGCCAAGCATACCTGATATTATCGTTCTATGGTTTTTTCTATGATGTTTCCTCAACCAAACATGATTATTTATGATTATTTATTATAGTTTCCATAGTTAATTCCTTCCAATTTCTCGTTACAGGTTCGTATTGTGTCGTCCTTCGTAATAGGAAGCCATTTTGTTTGACTTTGTCACATGAATAAAGTTAGAGTTATTCCCCTTTCCCCATTGAAAAAGCATACCCATGAGCATATACAAAATAACACAACATTTTCATTCTACATTTTATTTACAAAATAACAATAAATAACATGTACAAGAATATTACATAAAATAAATAATCAGACGTTTTATTGATTATGGATCGTTTATCAGAAAGTCTTAATACATAGCAGGCCGGTTTAATAGCGTTTCTCGAAACCCCAGAAGTCGTCGTCGTCACCGTGGAAGAACTCCTCGGCGTTGAAGTTGTCTTTCTCTGTCTGGTCGTTGTAATAAATGGCGTTCTCGTCGTCTGATGGTGTGTCAGTTGGGTCAGTGGCGCCGTGGGTCATGGGCGGGTCATGTTACTGTATAGTTATCGTTAATTGGCTAATCACACGCTGTCACTCACTCACACTCAAGGTGAGGAGACGACCCAAGCTGTTTATAACACTGCTGGGCTAACCCTTATCAAAACACCAATTATCGAAATGAGGACTTGTCGTACTGGTAAGCTTACTGTACCATTATGGAGAATAACTGTTGTTATAAACAATTAAGTGAATTCTTGAATGGTACCTGTAAGTTATACACAATGCGACATGCTCTCGGCCATTACGACATTAGCGTACGTGAAATGAAATCGGCAGCTTCAATTTGCATTTTTTACCCGCGGACATTACATGGAAGGTGGGTTTTTTCCCCAGATTTTTGTGTCAAAAAAGGGGTGCGGACATTACACAGATGCGGACATTACGTGGGTTTTTACGGTATTTCACATTAAAAAAAAGTTGCTTTTCGTCTCTTATGATAAAAGGGACAAAAGACAATATTATTTCTGTCTAAGATCAGCTTTTCATAATGTACTCGTGTGTTTGGGACCTAGTCTTGAGTGAAATTGAGCCCCATAAGGTAGAAATATGCTTGCTGTTTCTCTTTGTAAGAGGTGACTAAATGTTGGACACCCTATGTAGATCAGGGTAGTTACTCTGATCATGTTATATCAGACTCATCAAAAATGGGGCCTTCTGTATTCTGCTTCATGTCCATAGGAGACGACTCATTAAGAGTGTGTCCCTTGCAGAATCATGTATCTTCGTTTGGCCATGCCATTCAGCTTTGTTCCACATCACTTGTCTAAGGGAATATTTAAGAGACCAAAATAGATCTGCTGCCTCTGTTACAAGGCTTGATGTTTTACTTCTTTTCCTATCTTTTTTCATTCTCTCTGTTCTGTGCTATAAATCCACTTGGGTCTGCATGGGTGGAAGGGGAGGGTATAGTAATCACTTGGTGTGTCCATGATAACGTTTGGAGATATCTCATGAACCCATAGGTTGATTTAGACTATATTCATACCAAAGCATCGCTCAAATGAGGTCTACTTCATGGAAGATTTTGAAACTATTCAGATTTATAAAATTTTGAGTTATTGGAAAGATGTTGGTCTATATTTTAGAATATGACTTACAATTTTAATCTTTTGCGATACTATAACCATTTAAGATTTTTAGCATTTGTCTTTTACCTTTTTAACAAATAAGAACAAATACTGTTATCAAATTTAAGAAGTTAACTAAATAACAAGATGTATATATGGTAGTAATTTCAATCACTTAACGATACAATATATATTTATTAGAATTACAATAGACCAATATCTAGCACCCCTACTCAGTGTAAACAATACCTATAAATAATCTTTTCATAAGCTCTGTTACATGAACTTATCCTTTGCAATAAACCACTTGTACTAGAACAAGAACGGGTTCAAAAGTACAAATTTTAGATATCTTAGATATCCACAGGACACAATGGCAATGTAATACTTTAATCAAAATGTTTGTCAACAGCTCTCCTGCCAAGCAGTAAATCAATTACACATACAGTAGGTTACAGAAGTTACCTCCCCTTACATACTCTTTTCAATATTTCCTTAAATATTGCTATATCTATCAAGTGTGTTGGACAATTGATGTTGAATTATACACATGGTTTACAAATTACCACAACACTTTCACAGTCCAGTTCAGTGTCAATATATTCTCAGGAGATTTCATAACACTGCAACAGCACAATTTAAGTAATATCATGTAAGAATTGAAATTTGGTATGATTATTCAGTCATACTGATTTTGTCTAACATTTCATAGCACTAGTTTACAATTGACTTTAGCTACATATTTGGTCTTCCAAGTTCTCTGTAGGAAATTTTGCACAAGGTAAAGAATATATATAAAACATACCTTGATAACTGGTAACTTCCCTTGCTGTTTTGGATGAAGCAAAATGAATGATGAATTAAATATTAATTTAATCAACCATTTTTTCTGCACCGTAGCAAAGGTCTGAACAGTTTCATACATGGATTCAAATGATGCAATGTTATGTGGAATTTCTTTATTTTGTGTTTTACTTCAGAATTTAAGTACATTTAGATTGATTTTTTTTCTAGTGTTTCTCATGAGTAAAAATGATACTTTTGATATCAGCATCTGTTATAAGAATTTACATTGTGTATCTCATTCTGGTCATGAGTGTTGTGATTTAGACAAAGTCCCTTCAGATTTCAAAAGAGGGATTAAAGAAAGAGAAAATTTTATATATCCTTTATAATGTACTGTACATGCAGACATGTTTCTTGAAGATTTGATTCCTGTGATGATGAAGATCTGTATATTGTGAGTTCCCTGAGCCCAGTTTTGGAGCCAGAAATGGTCGAACCCACCAATACTGCAGGGACAGAGATCAAAAACATGCTGAAAGGCTGTCTGAACAGGCAATGGAAAAAAATTTCCATTGTGATTTTAGAACATAGCATAACTAGTTGTTTTTTTTTTAACAAGCGACTTGCAAAATATCTTCCATGAAATTACAGTGTGTTTACACTTAACTGTGACTAATTCCTAAATTGATGGACAAAATTCAAATCCCACATTTTCCCAAAATTTCCAGTCATCAGAAGCAATGCATTTGGACCCAATGCAATCCCTGATCCAATTTCAATGAAATTTTGTAGAAACCTTCTGTAGCCAATGGTGAACTGGGAATGAAAGTTATATGGTCCCCATCTTTCAGAGGACTCGGGTACAGGGCCAAAAACAGGTCAATTTTTTCTTTTAATTTCTGAAATTTGCTCAATACCCAAGTATGGTATATGAATACTTAACCAAAATTGTAAATTTCACAACTCAAAGGGTCTCCTATTTCTGCTTGGGTAATGGGTTAAAATTTTCTATGGTCCATTATAGGAAAAATTAATTTTGGAGCTTGATTGATTTATTTTCGTTTTGAAGTATTTCAAACATCATTGGAATCATCAGTAAAGGATGTCAATTTAGTGGAATGTACATATTGATTCAGGATGACCCCAGCGGCTGATGGATGGGGCCAAAAGAGGTCAAATTGACTCAAATATCAAAAATCATCTTCTCAATACCCAGATATGGTAGAGTCTATTAAATACTATTCATGGCTGGAAGAGGTTCCAAAGGATATAACTTTTTTGAGTGTAACCTCCTTCAATTCAAATACGACATGGGATGGTAGTTTCCATTTCTATTACATTTACGATGTAGATCAAGTTATTTTGCTTTTGAAGTTTACAAGATTATTTCTGTGACATGTTACAAGAACAACAGCAGCATTGTAACTTGGGTGACTGTTGGTCCTCATATATTATTACATCAATAATCACAGAATCTCTTGTCATACATTCAACAATTTGCATTTTAGCAAAAATCTTTTTAAGCAATTACCCATAAAACTGAACAATTTAGAATTTTCCTGTGTGCAAGATTTAAAATTTGGTATGATTATTCAGTCACACTGATTTTGTCTAGCATTTCATAGCTATAGTATACCTGTGATGATGAAAATCTCTATATTGCGAGTTCCCTGAGCCCAGTTTTGGAGCCAGAAATGGTCGAACCCACCAATACTGCAGGGACAGAGATCAAAAACATGCTGAAAGGCTGTCTGAACAGGCAATGGAAAAAAATTTCCATTGTGATTTTAGAACATAGCATAACTAGTTGTTTTTTAACAAGCAACTTTCAAAATATCTTCCATGAAATTACAGTGTGTTTACACTTAACTGTGACTAATTCCTAAATTGATTGACAAAATTCAAATCCCACATTTTCCCAAAATTTCCAGTTATCAGAAGCAAGGCATTTAGACCCAATGCAATCCCTGATCCAATTTCAATGAAATTTTGTAGAAACCTTCTGTAGCCAATGGTGAACTGGGAATGAAAGTTATATGGTCCCCACCTTTCAGAGGACTTGGGTACAGGGCCAAAAACAGGTCAATTTTTTCTTTTAATTTCTGAAATTTGCTCAATACCCAAGTATGGTATATGAATACTTAACCAAAATTGTAAATTTCACAACTCAAAGGGTCTCCTATTTCTGCTTGGGTAATGGGTTAAAATTTTCTATGGTCCATTATAGGAAAAATTAATTTTGGAGCTTGATTGATTTATTTTCGTTTTGAAGTATTTCAAACGTCATTGGAATCATCAGTAAAGGATGTCAATTTAGTGGAATGTACATATTGATTCAGGATGACCCCAGCGGCTGATGGATGGGGCCAAAAGAGGTCAAATTGACTCAAATATCAAAAATCATCTTCTCAATACCCAGATATGGTAGAGTCTATTAAATACTATTCATGGCTGGAAGAGGTTCCAAAGGATATAACTTTTTTGAGTGTAACCTCCTTCAATTCAAATACGACATGGGATGGTAGTTTCCATTTCTATTACATTTACGATGTAGTTCAAGTTGTTTCACTTTTGAGTTTACAAGATTATTTCTGTGACATGATACAAGAACAACAGCAGCATTGTAACTCAGGTGACTGTTGGTCCTCATATATTATTACATCAATAATCACAGAATCTCTTGTCATACATTCAACAATATGCATTTTAGCAAAAATCTTTTTAAGCAATTACCCATAAAACTGAACAATTTAGAATTTTCCTGTGTGCAAGATTTAAAATTTGGTATGATTATTCAGTCACACTGATTTTGTCTAGCATTTCATAGCTATAGTATACCTGTGATGATGAAAATCTCTATATTGCGAGTTCCCTGAGCCCAGTTTTGGAGCCAGAAATGGTCGAACCCACCAATACTGCAGGGACAGAGATCAAAAACATGCCACAAGGCTGTCTGAACAGGTGCATTGAAGTGAAAGTCATGTTAAATGAAGGATTGAGGTATCAATATATAGTTTTATCCCTAGCTGTGTGTTTAGGTTGGACAAGTGATTTGAAACTTAATATATTTCATTTTTTTGTTTATTTTACAGTTATTCTCATGGGCAAGAACACAATGATGAGGAAAGCAATTAGAGGGCAATTAGACAAAAACCCAGAATTAGAAAGGTAATACCAGTTGAGAATTTGTTTCATTTATGAAGCATTTTCATTGGATATCCTTCAAATCAAAGAGAAGTTCCATGAAATTAACTGTAGTTAAGAGAACATTTGTTCCGTTTGTTTGTCAGTGTAATGATGACTACCTAAGTTAATCAAGTAAAGTCACATTGATGTGTAATTTTAGTTTACTGACTATGCTCAGACTTTGGGATGATTCAGTTTAAATTCTTAGGTTGTAGATCTCCATGCTTCAGTTTAAATTCTTAGGTTGTAGATCTCCATGCTTCAGTTTACATTCTTAGGTTGTAGATCTCCATGCTTCAGTTTAAATTCTTAGGTTGTAGATCTCCATGCTTCAGTTTACATTCTTAGGTTGTAGATCTCCATGCTTCAGTTTACATTCTTAGATTGTAGATCTCCATGCTTCAGTTTACATTCTTAGATTGTAGATCTCCATGCTTCAGTTTAAATTCTTAGGTTGTAGATCTCCATGCTTCAGTTTACATTCTTAGATACTTTAATATCCATGCTTTGGTTTTATTTGCAGATTACTGAACTCCATTCGATTTAATGTTGGTATGGTCTTCCTCAAGGGAGATTTGGTTGAAGTTCGAGATATTCTTCTGGCTAACAAGGTATATACATTGATCATCCGGACGGGTTTTTGGTCTAAATGACATGGAGTTGAGTTTAAGTCTATGATGTGAATAACATCAAATTTGGAAGTGATTCCTTTAAATTTTGATATATATGTGTGTTTCATGGTGCTGTTATTGAGACGCTAAAGTGAAAACTTTATATATTCCAGAAACAAGCTCCTGCTCGTGCTGGGGCTTTAGCTCCAGTCGATGTCAATGTGCCAGCTCAAGCTACCACTCTTGGTCCAGAAAAGACATCTTTCTTCCAGGCTCTGCAAATTCCAACCAAGATTACCAAGGGGTGCATTGAAATCCTTGTATGTTATATGAAGTCTCTTACAGCTCTTTTATCATAAGTATATTTTCTGTATGTTTTCTTGGATTTATCATTTTAGTCTCTTGAGACAAAATGGGAGAAAGTGTACTGCATGTTTTTGGCAGTATAATCACAATATTTCGTTGTAAAATACAAAACTCGTGAGGACATCCTTCTTTTAATTCATGAAGATTTTAATGAGTAAAATCAGTGGAAAGTTGTTTTCAACTTTCCTGGTTCAAATGAGTTTTTACAATTCTGCAGTCACATTTTTTAGAAATGATTGGATGATATCAAAATTTAGTCTGAAGCATCCTTTGGTGAAATGTGAGTTGAGTTTGTATATATAATGTGTGTCTGTCCCTTGGGGGCCGGTGGCTCAAGGTCCAGAAGGGGAATTTAGCAAATTCTTGAAAATCCTTCTTTTGTAGTAGGAAAGTTTTTGAATTTTATCAACCAACTCAATTTATAAATTAAAATATTTTGATGTGAAAATTGAAATATCTAGGTAAATGACCCTTTAGACGTCTTGATATGCATACTTTCAACATTCTGAGTTTACATTATTGCTTATACATGATACCAGTAGAGTGCAAATATTGATTGATTGGTCTGGAGAAAATTTTGATCAATTGAAATTGATATCACACTATTGTTGACATTGAGAAATAATCCCCCTAACTTGCACATCAATTTATGGTATATTTTATTTCACTCCAGAATGAGGTGAATTTGATCAAAGAAGGTGGTCGAGTAGGGTCCTCCGAGTCAACACTCCTGAACATGTTGAACATCTCGCCCTTTTCATACGGTCTGATCATCGAACAGGTGTATGACTCTGGAACTCTCTTCAGTCCTAATATCCTTGACATCACTGATGAGGACATTCGTGCAAAATTCATGATGGTAATATACTCAATTTGTATGAACCTCTTATGTGGTCACCCAACACAGCTGACTTTGAGGGTGCAGTACTAAGATTTGGTGTTACACATGTAATTATGATTAAATGTCTAGAATGGCTTCAATAACCATTAAGGCCCTTCAGCTTCTTGTTTAAAGACTAATGCTCCAGAATGAATTCATGAATATTAACATAATTTGAGAACATTAGAGCGTTCCTTAACTGCAGATACTTTACAAGGGGCATATGAATGAAGTGTTTGACAACTTGTAAGAAGACAACATTAGTGTTATTTGTTAAGAAGAATGTTGCATGCTTTTTAAAAACTGTCCCTTCGAATAGGGCTGTGGAGTAGGGAAGGGAGACATTAAGCATTAGGAAGGCGTGTCATTAGGTCAGTAAGGAATATGGTGCCACAGAAGACAAACTTGTCATTCTTATTCAACATTTCAGGGTTAGTTATAGAAGTCAATTCAGATATAATAACAAAGCAGATTCTATTTTAAAATATGAGTTCCAAAGCTTTGTATTGTAGTGCCAATTTTTTTTTTTCTGTTATTCTAGAAACCAGTCATTTTTGGAGACAAAACAATACTACATTAAGTTTGATTGCACAATGTTTTAAATTTGGATCAAGTGCCAGATGCAGAATATTTTGTTAACTAATTTGGAAATTTTCTGTTTAATAGGGAGTGACGAATATTGCAGCATTGTCTCTGGTAATTGGCTACCCCACTGCAGCTTCTGCCCCGCACAGTCTTGTGAATGGATTCAAGCGTCTGCTGGCCGTTGCTGTGGAAACCGATTATACCTTCGCAGAAGCTGAGAGGGTAAGAATATACAGACCAGAATAAATATTAGTATTGATTTTGATGTTTATACAAGTAAGGGCACATAGAACTATCTGTTTATTCATTTACCAAAGATATATTCTTACTAACATCATGGTAATTTCCTATTGGTCAAACTGAAGAAGATTCAATTTCTAGTCCCTGTCGGTCAGTTTTTACCAGTTTTCCCATGAATGAGTTACATGACATTTTAATGAAATTATCATATATATGACACCATTGCTTTAAAATGGATCCTGCGTTTCTATCTTTTATCTTCTTGGGATCAATGGTTACTCTGAAAATAATACATGTCTCTAAATATCCACTAGTCTGACATCTGGGGCTTGTGTCTTCATATCCTTTGTAATTTAAGTAATTTTTCACAATTTCCATTTATGTTTATTTTTATTGAGCTAGTATAGATGCCTTTGCTTAGGACTGTAATATTTATTATTGTGTATAAGTGGTCAACAGTGTTTATTAAGTTATTACCATACATAGTGAATTGGATGCTTTATGTAGCTGGAGTATTATTGCAAGAAGCAAAATTGAGGTTTGGATTAGTAAAAAGAACATTAGGGCTAGTGAAAAAAAAATTGACTTCGAGCCCTTGGCTTGGGAAGCAATATTTACACCCCTACTTAATCATGAAAACAAAGGTTCTAGACACACTAAAGGGACAGTCTAATCATTTTTACCATCATTCATATTTCTGAGTCATTTAACATTTTAAGTTCATCATTGTGTCATCCCCATTCTCCACCAGAAAATCTAAGATTTTACAAGTTGTCTGTTTCTAACCACAGACCAAGGAATTCCTGGCTGACCCCTCCAAGTTCGCTGTTGCTGCCCCAGTTGCTGAAGCCGCACCTGCAGCTGCTGATACAAAGAAGGAAGCAGCTAAAGTGGAATCCGAGGAGGAATCTGATGACGACATGGGATTCGGGCTCTTTGACTAAAATTAGTAGTCAAACTCTCATGTAAATGCTAATCCAGATGCTGGCATTCAACAAACAAAAGATCCCTTTCAGATTTTAATATTTGTCTGGTGTTAAAAATCGGTGAACTTGAAATGAAAGATTGAAATATCCACGCCGGAGTGTCTTAGAGGCTTCAATATGGCGAAGGATTTCACCATAACATCTATTAAAAAGATCAACAAGATTTTCATTTGTTTGTTATTTATTAATGGCTATTGAAAAGTGTTAGATATCACTATTTTTATTAGCTCAACTGGCATGAAGGGGCCAAGTAAGCTTATGCCATGGTACAGGGTCTGTTCATCTGCCGTCGACTTTTTTAATTAGCATGTGTCTCCAAATAATTATAGTTGGCTTAAAGTTACCTTTGAAAAGGCCAAACAAGATTTGTAGCACACTTCTTGTAAACCAAAAGTCCAGACAGCAGGATATCTGGTTGAAACGTGTTTCTAGGTCAAAGCCGAACAAATTTTGATGAAAAGGGAAAAAGTGAAATTTACCTTTATTCCAGGTGGTAACTGCCACGGTTTAGAATCGAGTGTTAGAAGCTGTAGTTTCTTGTCGGAATTGTTTAAACTTGATTGGATGTGCCCACTTTAAATGACGATGATTCAATGTTGATGTTTTTGAAAAGCTTGAGTGAACAGAAAACGGGCTACAAAGAATTCATCTTTGTAGGAGAACTTGAACAATATTTAACATAAACCGCTGAAAATGACAGAAAGACTTCTAAAAAGAATAATAATATCAATGCAACTATTGATTTAAAGACCCAAGCGACCGCTGTCTGATCATTGCAGACCGTACCGAAGGAAGGGTCGAGTTCGACCAGCGCCAGTTAAACCATTAACAAAATGGAGACAATGTGATCGGTGCTTTCTCTGTCTGATGTCCCTAGGACTCGGGTCGAGTTCGACCAGCGCCAGTTAAACCAGTAAACAAAATGGAGACGAGGTGATCGGGGCTTCCTCTGTCTGATGTCCCTAGGACTCGAAATCAGTCTGATTTTGCATTACTGGGGCCTACTCTTGGACCGTCTACAAACATACAAACCACTTCCAACACGGCAGGCTCCGCCTTCAGTCCTGCTTGTTTACAGACTTATTTACAAACATACAGGACAGGAAAACTAGGATTTACAAAATTCGCTGAAAATCTTAAAGAAATGGTCTCTTAGCATAACATTGATGCGGTGACTTTGCATGTCTATTCGTGCGCTGACAATTGCTATCGCCTGTAATCTTTACAACAGAGTCTTAACTTTAGATAGGTCTATTTGTGTGCTGGTATACCCATTCCGGTTGTTGAGCAAACCAAAGTCTTAGGTGTAATATTCTATATGAAATTGCCGTTCCTTCCACATATAAAATACCTTGAAGCCAAATGCCTTAAGGCACTGAATATTCTAAAGGTGGTGTTCCACACTGATTGTGGAGCTGACAGAAAAGTTTTGCTAAGACTTTATAGGGCTCTCATTAGATCAAAATTAGATTTTACTGTTTGTCTTTTACCTTTTAGTTTGGTCAATGTTATGTCCTTTTGGATCGCTGTGTGTTGTTACCGGTTGATGGCCCTAATGACTTTTTATGTGTTGACGTGCCGTTAAGAATGTCATAATAGCAATAATGTTTATTGTGTGTATTAATCAATTTTCTTAATGCATCGGACTTGCATGTAATAGATATGTGTTCACACTTGTATGTGTAACTTGTGTTACCATAAAGGACAGTAGTTACAAACTTTAGTTGGACAGCCATTTAGTATTTTTTTTTTTTTTATAAATGTGTATGAAGTGTAATTCAATACGACAGTATTGATGTAGATACAGGATTGATAAGGTTTGTTTTCATGTATCCAGACTTGTAGAAATTCAGGTGAGGTTTAGCTACATACTGTTTGTTGTTCCTTGTATCTTAACTCACTGGTGATCGAGTTTACACTCCGCGAGAGTTTGTCAACATGACTAACGAAGCAGTTACTGTTTAATATTACCACAATGGCAGTAAATGTTTGAAATGCATTTTCTAGTTTCCATTCAAAGTTTCACGTGTATACATATACATAGTGTATATTCTTTGAGGTATGATACAACAGTAAATATTTTTCATGTCTTGTTTAGTTTGTTCGTAAACACTTTCTTTGACATCTTTATTTCAAGAAAGTGTATTTTTAAGTATGTTATATCTATTATAAAATCTGATGACTACACTCTTTTTCTTTTTTTCCCTCAAAAAAGACTTTGTGCTTCACAAGTACCTAACGTATAGTACATACGAGTGTAAATCCTCTGCATATATGTATCTGGATTAACAATCCACATCGGAAAGATAAGCCTATTCGTCCCTTGAATGTTTTCAATGTTATTTATCAGCTATTCGTAAAATTAAAAATTAAGATACAGCGACACCTTAACTATCATGTATCGTGCATCCTCGCCACCTCGCCAGGTGTTCTTTTTTCCATAAGTTGTAATGTGATGACTTGTATGTATCTTTATGTCTGGTTGATATTTGGCCGGATGAATGATAAAGATTTATTTTGATGTTATCGATAGCCCAAGTTTTACGCTCGATATAGCTCCCTGTACCCCTGGAATATTTCCTGTCGACACAAGCAAAGTAGTTTGATTTGTCTAGAGCAGGTTTCAAAAGGGAAAAAAAAGATGACTGCGATTATGTCTAAATAGGAAAAAGTATTAATTTATTTTTTTAAGTGAACATTTCTACATTTTGCGGGCGTGAAAAGCGATTATTTCATGAGGCAAAACAATATCTCTGGGAGAATTCAGAACGCCCAAAGTTAGACGAGCAAACTAATCCGGCATACCGTTTTTACTGAACCAGGGTCACAGTAATATACATAACCCGGGGCACAGTAATATACATAACAGGGTCACAGTAATATACATAACCCGGGGCACGGTTATATACATAACCCGTGTCACAGTAATATACATAACCCGGGTCACAGTAATATACATAATCCGGGTCACCGTACTATACATAACCCTGGTCACGGTAATATACATAACCCTGGTCACGGTAATATACATAACCCGTGTCACAGTAATATACATAACTCGGGTCACAGTAATATACATAACCCGGGTCACAGTAATATACATAACCCTGGTCACAGTAATATACATAAACAGGGTCACAGTAATATACATAACCCGGGGCACGGTTATATACATAACCTGGGTCATAGTAATATACATAACCCGGGTCACCGTAATAAACATAACCCGCGTTACAGTAATATACATAACCCGGGTCACCGTAATATACATAACCCGCGTCACAGTAATATACATAACCCGGGTCACGGTAATATACATATCCCGGATCACAGTAATATACATAACACTGGTCACAGTAATATACATAACCCGGGTCACAGTAATATACATAATCCGGGTCACCGTACTATACATAACCCTGGTCACGGTAATATACATAACCCTGGTCACGGTAATATACATAACCCGTGTCACAGTAATATACATAACTCGGGTCACAGTAATATACATAACCCGGGTCACAGTAATATACATAACCCTGGTCACAGTAATATACATAAACAGGGTCACAGTAATATACATAACCCGGGGCACGGTTATATACATAACCTGGGTCATAGTAATATACATAACCCGGGTCACCGTAATAAACATAACCCGCGTTACAGTAATATACATAACCCGGGTCACCGTAATATACATAACCCGCGTCACAGTAATATACATAACCCAGGTCACGGTAATATACATATCCCGGATCACAGTAATATACATAACACTGGTCACAGTAATATACCTAACCCGGGTCACAGTAATATACATATCCCGTGTCACCGTAATATGCGTAACTCGGGTCACAGTAATATCGTTGAAGTTGCCAAACATTCTAGCGATATATTACATAAAAGCAAAAAGATACGTATGTCTTTCCTATTTTCGAATTATATATTCAGGGATAAATTCTGACATGTATATCGACCATCTGAAATACATTTTAAACTCTTTGTCTTTTACGAGAGTAAGTAAGAGTATGATCCTTAAGATTTCTTTAGAGCTCCCACAACAATGCTGGTAGATGAAACCCATCATTATAACGGACCATTTAAAGCCAACGTACGGATTTTATTTTCTAATTATCTACGCTTAGCCATGGAATTTTAAACTATCCTTAGTTTATAATCTTCTTTTCTAAATTCTTCAAAGGTTATATCGATAGGAAAAGACGTAAACAGAAAAAAGTTTACAATCAACGTAAACAAACGTATACTTATCATTATATATTTCGTTTTGTTAGTAGTCTAGTTATTAAAGATTTTATATTCATACTGAATTAGCGCATGCGCGGAGTGTTTTAAATGCAGGAAGAATTGGAGAAAAAACATGTATAGAATGTAAGTACATAATTATCATTTGTACATTTATAGGAGAGACAAAAAGCGTAATCATACGTTTTTTTTCAAATGCGGGATTTTAATTTCAAAAGAACTTTAATTTGATTATATATTTAGAGTAAGTGTTTCATGATAATTAGGTAGTATCGTTGTGGCTATATCTTTAGATATATCTAGCGACACCATTGCGATGCCAACATTCACTCCGATACATGAGAAGATGTCGTGCTAATTCTAGTTACCAATGGAATTTGTCTGCTTCGACAAAAACTCTTCTAGTCTTGATCAATTTGTTATCAATTCTCATCTTGTTTAAATATCTACCTGGCTTTTAATATTAACTTTATTTTTAAATGTTGAAGTGATGCAAAATACTAAATATATTGAATTATTCATCAATCATTTATGTATAAGTGAAAGATTGGCGTGATTCCCTTGTGTAATATTGTGTCCAAGTGTCGAGAGATCCTTAAACAGAAATTATTTCCCTTGTATTATATGAGATTGTAACAAGTCATAGATTTTAATGGAGTCAGTTGGTTTATCAATTTCAATGCATTTCATTTTTGTCATTTATCTTTCTAGATACATCCCTAAATCTTGATAAAAAGATAATGAATAGATCCTCGTAACGGATAAGTTTGTAATCAGAGAGCGAGGTGTCAACAAGTTATTGTTATTTCATGTAAAAAACACGTGTGCTACACTTGACATTTGTATCATCCTAAACTCTACAAAGTGTAATAAAAATCCCGCACAACCTATTGCCCTTATGTACTGAAATACACGTGTGTTACACGTGACATTTGTATCATCCTAAACTCTACAAAGTGTAATAAAAATCCCGCACAACCTATTGTCCTTATGTACTGAAATACACGTGTGTTACACGTGACATTTGTATCATCCTAAATTCTATAGTAGTATAAAATCCCGCACAACCTATTGTCCTAATGTACTGAAATACACGTGTGTTACACGTGACATTTGTATCATCCTAAAATCTTTAAAGTATAAAAATCCCGCAGAACCTATTGTCCTAATGTACTGAAATACACGTGTGCTGCCAGTGACATCTGTACAATCCTAAATTCTTTAAAGTATAAAAATCCCGCAGAACCTATTGTCCTAATGTACTGAAATACACGTGTGCTACCAGTGACATCTGTACAATCCTAAATTCTACAAAGAGTTATTAAATCCTGCGAAACCTAATGTCCTAATGTATTGCTTTCAGATTAGCTCACGCCACCATTAATCTAAACTTAGCAACGACTGTACTGGGGACAAACAAAAGTGATGACATCATGACCTCTATGATGTATGATGGTACGAACTAAGAAGAGACATCTCAACGAGTATTTGAAGTTTACAGAAATGCAACGTCACTAAACAAAAATGATGACGTCATGAGCTCACAGGACAAGTTAGAAGATATAAATGCCGACACTGTCAATATTTTACTTCCTGCTATTGTGATTATTTTTATGCTGATGTTTACTGGAATAATTGGCAATCTGCTGGTGATCTATTTTTACTCCATGACATTGAAACCCACAGCTTCATACATATTCATCACAACGTTAGCGACCTTTGACCTCATCTCCTGTCTTATTTCTATGCCATTGGAAATTGTGGACCTTTTACATTTTTTTACGTTTGAAAGTTCCGGAGCATGTCGCGTTCTTCGTTTCATTAATTACTTTGCACATATAGCTTCGGGAGCAACCCTAATTGCTATAGCTGTTGATAGATTTCAAAAACTTTGCAAGCCATTTGAAAGACAAATTTCAAATCGAATGTCAAAGACCATATTGATCCTAGTGATTATGTTTGCCATTTTGTCTGCTTGGCCCAGTGTTGTGTTTAATAGAGTCGAAGCCGTAAACATTACTCTTTCCGGTGAGAATTTCGTCGGCTACGATTGTTCAACAATACGAGACGAGGCTTATTTAGATTATATCAAAGCCTATAATGCTTATTTGTTTTTCCTGTTTTGTTCTGCTATCGTCGTCCTCCTCGTTTTGTATGTGATGGTAGGTCGGCAACTTTATGCTCTGAGGAGCTTCCGGTTCTATTCAACTGGAAATAGAATTCCGCCGTCCCGACCGATGAGTACTATGACTATTTCTAGTGATGTTCATTCCATTTCCGGTGCTACAGTGCCTGAAATGTCCGTAGCAGAAACGATTCTTGAAGAAGACGATGACGAAGAAGATGCTGCGATCGTTGAAGCATTTGAAGCTGAATTACGGCGAGGAAATCTCACACCTATAGAAGAAGACGAGGATGATGAGGAGGAATTAGACGAATTCGAAGAGGATATGGATGACTTCGATGAGTACATAGAAAGTAGATGTCGGCCAACATCTACAAGTTCGATGAAAGTATCCTCGAAAGTGATGAAAATGCTATCTAACAAAGTTGCACCAGAGCCGGAGAGAACCGAACTCAAGGAAATTCCGATCTTGAAACCAATACGACAGTGTCGCAGTTTTACTGAGAACAGCCGTCGTGTCCGAGTGCACCATGGACCAAGGAGAACAAAATCCGAAATTTCGATTTCTAGTCGATTTCGACAAAAACAGAACATGCCAGGATCGATTTCGCGCATGACACTCACTTCCGGTCTCAATAACAATCATGGTCATGAGAACTTTTTACCGGACGTGGAAACAAGATTGTCTCGTTGTGCGTCAGTTGATATTGATGAATCTAAGATGCGCGCGCAGAACATTAACACTAAAAAGTTCACGGCTATAACTGCATGTATCAGTGTAGCGTTTATACTGAGTTTTCTCCCTTACCTGGTGTTAGCAACCATGTCGACATTCAACACGGACCATGAAGCTAATTATTTATCCAGATCCGAACTCGTGGCCTACCAGATATTTGTCCGATCATTTCTGTTTAATAGCGTTTGTAACCCGTTGATATATGGTTTACTGAATACAGAATTCAAGAAGATGTTTATCTCGGGATTAAGAAGAACGTGTTGCTACTTTTGTGATAAATGGCGGATAAACACAAAAATTGCTCCCGACACCGCACGTTGACAATCTCAAAAAAGACGGAGAGAAATGCGGCATGTCTTTTTCTTTTTCTTTTATTATAAAAAGAAAACAAAATACTGCTTTATATCGATTTAAGAATATATAGATCAGCAGTTCTTGTAAACTGTGACGTAGTTAGTCACAAAATCAAAAATTAAGAACAACGAGAAAAGATCCACCCGGAAATCTCTATTCAAAAGTTTTACCCTGATGTTACACATGTTTGCAATCGCTTTGTTGTGTAGTTTGAAACGTGTGTTATTGAACAGATTACATATATATTATTATTTAGACAAGATCTTATTACTTTCGATCCTTTTCATCTAGTTCAGGAAATGGATAATCGGATTTTAGAAACCATAATATCAGGCTTATTAAAAACAAACAATTACCATTGGTCAATATCGAGGCCAGTAGATCTTCATTGTCTAGCAAGGACATAAAACAGGATATATGTTGTTACATGTTTTTGGTTCTAGCCAATCATCGCGTTGTTCAAAGATACCACAATACGGCTCTCACATTATCAGATCATGGTGCCTTGAGACTGATTTCGTGCAAAATCAAGTTGAAACAGTATTGATAAAGTGTTGAAAATTGATTAAATTATTTTGCGTGAAAAAGCTGAAATATAAGTTCAACAGTGTGAATATTTGTGAAATACTTCAGTTTTTTTGTTTTGTTTGTAAATCAGTCGTGATATTTTAGCCTTTTATATATGAATAAATTGACATGGAAACCTATTTTACCATATAACATATCCCATAGCAGAATAAGTTTATTGGTTACCACTCAGAAGGGAACACGTAACGGATGTAATGAATGCTGTCATTGGTTTAAATCCAACCTGAAACGCAAAAAAATATGTAAGGGAAGATTTCATTGGTTACAACTCAGAAGGGAACATACGATGGATGTAAATAATGATTTCATTGGTTTAAATCCAGCCGGGAACGTAAGAAACATGTAAGGGAAAAATCATCGGTTTAAGTCCAACCTGGAAACAACTATGTGTGTAATGAATGATTTACTTGCATTAATCTTATTGGTTAAATTCCAATAAGAAACCAATGAAGAAATTGTAAATATTCTTTGAAATGACAAAGTATTACCTTCTATCTAATGTTTTGTTTCCTCGGTAATTGTTGGTGATAGAAAGGACATCGACGGTAAATAAGAGATTGCGAAATTTTTTATTGTATAGTAAATATCTTGAAGTTGCTGTTTTATTGCAACGTATGTATATATATAAGTATTCTAAATTTGAATTTAATAAAACATTTGTACAGGTATTCTTATATTTTGATTCAGTTAATATGTCATTGTACACAGCTTCATAACTGAATCAATTTTTATTTTCTTAGAGGCTGCCGTGGGCAGGCGTCTGAACGTCTTTATCACTAGCCCTCAAACTCTGGGTCGCGGTTCGAGACCTGGTCGTGGGTCAATGGTCCTGGAACTTTTGATTTCCTCCACCACCCAAACCTTAAACGACTCTTTTAATAAGACGTACGGCAATAATTAATTAAACTGAACTAAACTAAGCTAATCTTTTATTTGTCAGTAAGGGTGAGATAAGGTTTTCTTAACTACACGTCATCATAAATGATCATGGATTGTCTGTTCGGTTCATTGGCATAGTGCAAGTTGCACGAGTTTTTAGCTTCATGTTTTGGAGAAAATTGTTTTCGACGTTTTTTTTTTTTCCATTTTAGTGTTAGACTGAATATTGCTAATACGTGGCTCTTGTTTTCAGCATGAATATTTGTAATGAAGATACATGTATAATTCCGTTTGAACTCCATCAATCCGAACGCTGAGTCTCCGCACCTTTTTTCATGAAAAGAGAAGAAGTCCGGTAAAAAATAAAAAAAAATAGTTAATTAACACTAAATCCTACCTTATTGCTTTATATGGGAGGATAACAAGGCGATGGCATCAACCAAGTCTGTAGGGGGAAAACTGAATTACATATATATATATATCAAAATTTAAACAACACGCCACCATCTAATTCTAGAAAAAGTATTACTAGAGAGAGAGTACTGACTCTTTCAAAGTGATAACGTCACATACTACCAATATGGCGATGGAAGGAATCATACAGTTAATTAAATATTGGATCACATCTGTTTTGACCAGTAATCTAATTTAATCACGATATATTCAAATCAGTTGCTGTTCAATCTCTACGGTGGTCTTTCATTAAGTTTTTTGATCGAACAACAAACATGGCCGTCACAAATGTTTAAATTTTGAAACTTTGGTATTGTTATTGGTGTATGTGAAGGCTCTTCCAACCCTTGCCTATGTTGATAATCACTGTATAAGCTGCTTATTGTCCAGTGTCGTTTGGTAGAGTCTGCTGACAAGCCATAGTTTACCTTAATTATGACGGCCTCCCTGGTTTAGAAGACGTAAACCAGAGGTCAACAGGTTGTTCTAGTGTAGCTTAGGGTTGGTTTGGGGGGACTTACAGGAAATTTACATTTACAAGGTATTGACGTTGTTTTCCATTTCATTCCGTCAACGCACATTATTGTTTCGTAGCTGTTTGTTACATGTTTTTGTTTACATTTCGTAGTTAATTCGATGTCGTATGCGGGTCCTTCCTAGATTCGCAGTTTTCATGAACGCTGCTGACGGCAGACAAAGTACTTAGCCACACACGGTTTTGACAAGGTGCAGGTTTATATAAGACTATGAGTAAGTTAAAAGTCGTTAACGTGACCTCTTGTTTTCCGTTTATTTGTGTGACATGAATTGGAAATGTTTGATGTTTTTTAGCATGTCTGTGGTCCACTTGTAGCCGTGTCTGTCCTTAAAACCACTGCATTTTACATTCAATTTAAAAAAGGAAATTTGCTCTCTGTCTGTCTGTGTCTCAGTCTGTCTGTGTCTTTGTCTCTCAATCTGTCTCTTTCCTTGTCTCTGTTTGTGTCTCTCTCTCTGTCTCTATTTTCTCTCTCTTTCTTTCTCTCTCTCCCTCTCTGTCTCTCTCTTTGGTGACGTTACAATGCCTATTGACACCATAAATTTATAACGTCACTACGGAATCACTGAAAGTGTATTATAACAAGTATCTATGCGATGACAGTTATTATGCTGAAAACAAGAGACTTATGTCTCAGATTGTTAATAAACATTGAAGAATATCACACAAGTTAGGAAATTGACGTTTCGATGACTGTGCTTTCATCTTTATCAAACAAATGTTTTATCTGATGAAGGTGACATGTAACTTTCTAACTAGTTGTGATATGCGATGACATTCACGTTTCTACTACTACGTTGTCAGACTAAGAATGATTAGCCACTTTATACCGATGCAGACGTGGATTATCCCTCATGAGATCACTCACTTTGAATATTCTAGACACTAGGGGGCGATAACACTAACAAGTTGAGGACCGGATATCATATACCACACAGGGACCTGGCTGAAGTCGAGAAATACATCATGTGACCCTGTATTCAGATGGAAACACTTCATAGTAATTTTTCAGACCATTCGGGCATAAGCTGAGAATTTCAGTGTTTGACTTCTAAAGCTATTACACGGAAACAATGTAGAAATAATTGATAACAAATTCTTGCTGAGTTTTTTTTATAACATTATGTATCATGTGTAAAAACAATGGTATCCACACACGTATAAAGGAATTTGACTATTTTCGAGAATAGAATTGCGATAGATAGAAATAAGACTTAACAAAAGGAGTAATAAGGAATAAGTGACAGAGAAAAAACATTATCTTTACTTAAGATATTGATACTGTGAAAAAAACTGCGATTGGAATTTCAAACTATCAATACAGTAGTGCCTACTGGTCATCATGTGTATTATAATAGAAATGTAGATAAGTACTTAAATTACATGTCCTAAAAGGACGAAACAGCTGTATGATGTAGCATCACTGACGAGTCCTAGAAGGACGAAACAGCTGTATGATGTATCATCACTGACGAGTCCTAGAAGGACGAAACAGCTGTATGATATAGCATCACTGACAAGTCCTAGAAGGACGAACCAGTTGTATGATGTATGATCACTGACGAGTCGTAGAAGGACGAAACAGTTTCATTCATTATTTGACTCTACTGTATCTAATTCTTAAGCTTTATTGAAAAATGTTACCAAATCATGCGTCTTTTATTTTATTCTTAAAAACTGTCATTCAAAGTTTTTTCTGTTTTTTTTTTTTTTTTTTTTTAAAATAATCACCTAATGTTATTTTTGCATGCGGGTTGTCACTAATTGGTCGAAGAAATGAATGTTATTTATGCTTATTACTCCTAAAATGTTCCAAACTTAAACATCAGTGTTTAGATGATATATAGTAGTTCTGATCCACGTGGGAATCATATCACAATAGAACGGGATTAATACCGTGATTCTATCCAGTTACTAATACGGATTAGTAGGGACAGGTTATATAAGTATCTGTTGTAGTCTACCTACACATCTATTAGTCCGTACTTCTTCGAATTTGAATCCGTGAGTGTGAAATATCGATGTTCAACATCACACACAAACAATAAGTACCTTCAATAATGCCTATAGATCCAGATCTCGTAGTCACCACCATCACTCACTTTTGTAGCCCGCTGTCAATGATATTAAGCATGTGCCACAGGATGTTGTCCGAAAGTATTCCATGTCTTATAATTCAGTTAAACAATATCTGTTGAACAAAAACGTCATATCTTATTTATATGAGTTACATATGGTCAGTTATTTTGAAGGACGCTCCAGTAAACCCTCAACTGAGAACCCCTTTGGTTTACCCTGACAGGCGTGAACTGTAGCCATCTCTTTCATTGGCTAATCTCTCGTCCTCTGACTATGTCCTATATATGATTTATACATTACTACAGTCAATACACGAGGAAATCATTTGTTCAGGAAGTTATGATAAGGATACCTAATGATTTGCTGTAAACCAAATAAAACTGCGAGAAGATATAGAATTTGAAAATACATTTGAACAATACAACTGATT